TGTTTTCAAAGACGAAACGGTTTACTCGCCACTGTGCGGAACCTGTGACTGAACCTCGTATCTCTGAAACATACTGAATGTTGGACTTGAAGAAATCTCGGGTAAAATGTGTCAAAATATTTCTCTCTTCTCAAAGATCGATTCATTTATGAGATGATATGATGGGACTGATGACACATTCCACAAACTGAAGAAGGTGTTATTCAGGATGTTCACAACCATGTCAGATTAAACGAAAAAAAGAAACTGAAGATTAACTTGACTAAAGAAGTGAAAATATGAAATTCAAGTAGTGTTGCACGATCAATGTCAAGAGTGATAAGACAACAATATGCAAATACATTCGTCCTAATATGACAAAACTGGAGGTCTTTATTGATGCAGCATTTTGTAAGGCTCTGACAGCCGCTATTCTGAATATACAAATATTATGAATAATTTGCTTTCACGACATTGCTATATGCATCTTATGATGAAAACAAATTCCAATTTCATTTAATGGTTTTTGTAGTTTCAAACCAGTCTTTCTGAATCTAACTTGCTGAGTACAACGACTTTTTCTTTTATTATGTGTTTACTTCTTTTGAATTTTAAATGAAGTTATCAAAATAATGAAAATAATTGATTACAATTTGCTATAATGAATTGATTGCAATTGGACTTAATGAATATTCTTTAAATTGGGAATATTTATGAATACTCAATAATATTAATCTTGGATACTGTGTCACACCTTTCGTTGATTGATATTTTTAACAGCTGGTTGACAAGTTCTCGTCGCTTGTCAAACTAGGTGAAATATGAAAACAGTTGCAAGTTGCAATTAGCAATAGCTTCTTGCTTGAGTAGATATGGGGCAGCAATGAGAAAAAGTATATTCTCTTAACGAAGTAATCATAGTCAACAGAAATGTATTTATATACTGATAGTAGGTTTTCGACGGCTTTGTCTAAGTGACCTGCGACACTGCCTCCAGACTCTCGCTACCGTCTTTGTAAGTAAAGCCGTCGACAGCCGGCTATTAATAAATAAATAATTTGAAATAATTCAATTCTTTTATTTAGAGCTCTTTTGGATTATGTCTTCAAAGATCTTTATCATTTACTCCTGTTTGAGATCACAAAATTACAGCGCTGCTTGAGTTGAAATCATCTGTGAAATATTTATTTTACGAAACTGATGAACATCACATTTTACACTGTCGTATTATATGAAAAAAATATTGCAATTTTATGATAAAACCTTCATTGCATGAAGGTAGTATACTTCAAGTTTCAGTTCAACTTGAAAGACCGTCCACTTCTTTTTTTTTAATATAGATTTTCCCCGTTTTAAGTGTTAGAGACTTTAATAATGAAGTTATCAGTTGTCCTACGTGCACCTAGAGTATCATTTTCGTCCACTGTGTTACCCGCTGTCGTCCGTCAGCCCTCACCGCTTCCAAGCCTGCCGCGCAGCTCGCTACTGCGTTGCTTATTGATTGCGACCAGCGACGGCCACGCAAGTTCCTGGCACTGCCACCGGCCTCGCAGGCGCTCGCGTCGTTCTACCACCAACGTTCGTTGCTCTCCTCCGCCACCAGGGTCGCGACCATCGCGCGAGGTCGCGGGCAGGGCGTCCGGCAGGAGGAACCACGCGCGACCTAGCCGCGCGATCGCGTGTACGACCGCGCGCGTACGTCGCCGTTGGCTCAGCTTCTCCTTCGGCGTTCGGACGCACTAGGTTGTCAGGAGAATAGTAGAGGTGGCGGGTTACTCTGCCTGTATGGACGCCGCCATTTTGCTACAGGTGGCGCGCTCCCGCTCGTCCTCATCGACCGTGTGGCTAGCTGGGATCATTACTTCGCTCGTCCGCAAGACACTTCTGAAGGTTCTTAAGGGTATTGTTAATTCAATTAAAAGTAAAATTGGAAATACTCCGAATTTGCCTTTCGATTCCATTGTACTCTTCTGATACACGTTTAAACGTTAAAAACGAATCCAGTGGCGAGCAGAGCAAGCGGCGCAGATGCCGTTTGTTTGTGGGATTTCTTGGGTTCCGAAAAGGGGCTCAATATTTTTTTCTAGAGGCTCTTGGGGCGAGTGTAGTGTGCCCATCTGTCAACAGCTGTCAATACGCTATCACCAGGGCTTTGCCCGTCAGTCTTGTCCCAAAATTACGCCACCCTTCTACCAGCCATCCATAAATCTGTAGGAGGTGTAGGCACGCTGCACTCCCCCCAACACGGAAAGAATCCGCACAACCCTCACCCCCTCAGGCGCTTTTTCCCGTTTACCTTTTCATTCGTTGTTTTATGAACCCCGCTTTTCTCCGTATTTTTCGTTCAAACGCGGAGAAATGCAACCGATAATACGAGGCGGAACGAGGAGAAAAGTTGCGAGGATAAGTCGCTTCGAAAATTCCACGGATGGCCGATTCTGTTTTTAACGCGGATTGCGCGGGCCACCGGATACGACGTGTTCGTCGTTGCAGCATTTCTTGTTCCTGCGGAGGCCGGGCACCAGGACAGCCGAGGAGGTGGCGGCGGCGCTAGAGCTCAACCGCCGTGCCTCAGCGTCCGCGCCACCAAACGTGGGCGTGGCCTGGCCATATGAGTGGCGATACCCAATGTGTTAGATATTCATTTTTAAGAGTGCTTAGAATATTTTGTGTGTTGTCCATTTTTAGGTTTAAATGTGCTTCCACATGAACACACTGAATAACTTGGGCTATATTTTTATCATAATTACTAGGAAAATTTATGAAGTGAATGTAAATGATTATATTATTTACTTGTAGATGTAAGCGGATATTATATAATACATTATGGTAATATACTAAAAATCTAATATTTGTCCATTTGAATTGAATTATTGGAATTATGAAAGGGTGTAGCTAAGCAACCGGTGCGAGGCATCGAGGCCTCCGAATTCAAGGGCCTTGACTGAAGGCATCGGCCGGCCACCCAAAAACGAAGCCATTGGCCACGAGGGGCTCCATTTGGAATTTCTGCACCGGGTCTCTCGAGAACGTAGCTACGCTTCTGGTATTTTGCCAGTCACATGAACTGCTGATGTCTCTTCAGAGATTCATTATTTTAAATAACCTCCTCCGTTATTTTTCAATTACAAATGTAAACAAAACATCTCTCCTACAACTACGAGGCCCACACAAAAATATTTTATGTATATATATATATATATATATATATATATATATATATATATATATATATATATATATGCATTCATGAGAAAAAGTGTTCATTTCTCATAAGAATAAGCGAAATTGCAAAGTAGTAGTAATTAAGAGTTCTTAGGAAGCAGAGGGGAGAAAATACTCTAACAGCGTTTTCCACATCATTTAAATAATATAATTAAAGAACAATCCTTTGTATAAAATTAATAAATAATTTATTACTTTCGTATGAATTTGACTATTATAAATAATAAAACAATTATCATAGTCAAAGAACACATTGTGTGTTTTATATTTAACTATTTTTTGGGTAACTCAAAAGATTTATTGAAAATATTTCTATTCATTGGACGGCTAGATAGTTCATTGCATTACAAGACCACGTATGGGTTTAATAATTCGCCAATCCCATCGTGCGAATGTGTGGAAAGTTTTTATTATGCTATTTTGTTTATCTCAATTTAAATGTAATTCCATGAGCCAATTACATAAGGTATTTATGTTTTTAATAAGCATACACACTGTTCCATGAGGAATGACAAATATTTTGAGAGGCTTATCATATAAAGAAAACGGACGACTCACAAGTATAGAATTGTTTCATATATTTTACTTACGTAGAAACTTACATGCTTATTTAAACTGTTTACAGTTGTTTTACAAATCACCCTTTCTATGCACTTTTCAGCTCTGTTGGCTCTAGTATATGTACAGCTTTATGTACATACTCAGCGTAATGTACTTTAGGAATCGTCCTTAAAATACATGACGCTAAAAGGGGAATGAGTGCTAGAGGCAATGTTACACTGCATTACATGGGGCGTTAGAATTAGTTTTGTTCTATGTAATGCTAATATTATTCTTTCATTTTTCAATATTTACAGAATAATAATTCATTTATTAAATATTTAAATAGTATAAAACATTAACATTTTTTTAAAATTATATGCTATGTGTGTATCTATAGTACACTACAAATCTATAGTATATTCCAGAATCCAATTGAATTAGTACAACAGAGAGATTCTCACCCATGCGCCATACCCCAAACGGCGTCTCTCCGGTTGTTGTTTTTTGTATACGCGTTCTTCCGTTCTTCAAAAATTCTCCCCCAGTCTCTTTATTGTTAAGGGCTGATTCTGATAGGTAACGTTCATTTGGCGGTCGAATATGAACTAGTGAAATTCAGATTTTCATCGCGTGTGTTGCTCACGAATTAATAATGTTAAACTTCCATCGCGTGTTGTTTTGTACCGCATCGAAAGCCGCAACCACCGCCGCGATATTACAGAGAGCATTTGAGAGGGTGTCAGGGCCCAAGTATTTATTTAAATAAATATTTTATCAGTTTTTGTCAATATTTTTTTAGGATAAAAGAAAATATTTTGAATATCTCAGTAGGTTGTTTTTAGAAGATGCTAGCAAACGGCAAGAAAGATAATTATTATGATATCTCAAAATCCTATCGTAAACTGCATATCTATACTCCATTGGCCGCGCACATTCCGTGGTTCTCGTCGGTAGTCACTGTTCGTGTACAACGTGTAGCGTTTTTCGTGGTAAAACTGGGGATGGCGCACCATAAGGTGAATTTCGTATCACCTTTCCTCTATTCTTACTTCACTCAGTGTTCAACGAAATGAAACAGAAATAATATTAGCGAAAGTGATGTTGTCGTCTGGCTGAAAGAAAACACGGAGAGAGAGTCAGACGGTCGGTCAGACAGACAGACAGAGACAGACAGACAGACGGACGAACAGACGTTTTGCCATTAATCAATTTCCTGCATCAAGGACCCAGAAAACGGATTCTGACTACTCACGTGTTAGTTAGAAGAAGTAATTTACTTATATATAGGAACAAGATTTATCCACTTTTTCTTTATCAGGAGCGGCTCTAATTTTTCGTTCGAAAATTCGCCCCTCTCCCCTTGTGACATTCCAATACTTTCTCTATAACGCGTAAGCAGATGCAGATTCGAGTGCCGTATGCAGTACGGACGCGAAATGTACTTACAACCCCCCTCCCCCCTCCCCAACACATCTTCTCCTCGACACACTCCTATTGAATAGATTGTTTTTAGAAGATGCCAGCATACGGATCTGGTGAGAACTTCACGGATGCCTTGTGCACTTCCGATGGGAGTCAAGTAAAAAGAACAAACAACCTTCAGTTACAGGAGCCTAAGAAAGAAAGACGGCAGACATCCCCGCCCGCTGCAAGTGCACCACGACGAAAACTGGTAAAGCGAGTCGTTTGAAAAACGTGCGAACTTGAAGGTTGTTTTTTCTTGTTATTTTCTCCTCACCCTCCTCCTGGATCCGTGTAACGATCGATCTCCATCGGATGAAAGAAAGAAGGCGCAAGGTTGGAGGGAGGAGCTTCGCCTTCGCTGTTTGCCCGCACGCGCGTCTCGTCCCGGGCCGAGCCCGCATCTCTTTCCCGGCTCGGGGGTCACCGGCTCGCAGCACAGCTGAGGAGGTCGTTCCTCCTACGCGTCGCGCGCGGCTTTCCCACCGGCCGAGCAAGCGCAAGCGCGCGCGTTCGAGCGAGTATGCAAATACGATTTTTCCTTCACATATGTCGGCGGCGCCCTGCACGAAGAAGATGCGCGGCAGACGCCTTCTTTTTTACCCGTTTATCGGCGACGAGCGCGTCCCGAGTGGCGCTCAGTATGCTAAAGTAGAGCAGTCAGTGCCCGGCGCGCATGCGACCCGAGCAGGTAGGGGCCCTGGCCCCGCAGCGGACGGCAACGACCGTGGCGGCGGTGGCGGCGTGGCAGTGCCCTCTCATGGCGGCCATCTGGGGCACGCGGCGCCAAATTCGAACGCACCCCTCCACGAGGAACGAGGAGAGCCGCAGAAAATGTGAGTGTGGGGTGTAGGGGCTTGTACCAAGCAATCTGCGTTTTCGGTATGTCGTTTCCCTCTTATACAGAGTTGACAAAAAATGTTTCTGGCAAAGTTTCTTAAATTCAATTGTTCAGCGTTTGGATGGATTATAAAAAATTCAGGTTTCTGTGTATTTATTGTTTCATAAGTGTAATTATCAATCCGCATTTAATTTATCTGATAAATCAGGCGCAGATCCACGGGGAGCGAAATGAGGGAAATCTCCCCCCCTAAAATGTTTCAGTAACTATTAATTTTAACTTGTCACGAGGCGCAAGCAAAAATAATTTCGGATAATCATTAACACGAATAAAATCGTATCGCAGCATGAGCTGACTGTAGCCTGTGACATTTTATAAAATCTGTAATATGACATATTCGACGAAAACATTTTGAATTTCCCCTCCCAAAAGTAGCTCTGCATCCGCCCTTGGGTAAATATAGTTTTACTTTTACTATGGTTTAATATAATCCCATTACATGAGGCCAGATGTTTTCGCGGAGGAGCTGAGCTATACATTTGTACTATTTAGAGATTCAGTGTCATCGGCCTTCTTCAGTTGTTTAATTTCATGTTGCACCCACGAGCGTCACTTTCCGGTTCCCCTCCGGGCGTTGTGCCGCTCTTGCAGAGTGCTCTTGCTGAGTGTGGTCCTAACATAGTCCGATGAAAGGGGCGCTGGTCGTCTGGGAAGATTTTGAAAGTTACGTGGAAATGGAGGTGTCGTTGAAAATGTGGTGCTGGCGCTAGAGACGGTGACAGCAAAAGCAAGGCAGTAACTATTAAGGGAGGTATGGGACAGCAGAAAGCCTTTGCTTTTTCAATGTGTGCATTTGGACCTAGGGCATTTACCTCACCCAAGTTTTTAACTGCTACACCCTACAAAAGTTTAGGACACCAGACTTTAAGGGATGACGTCAAACTTTAAAATGAGAATGGAAAGAGATATGCAAATTATTTGTAATAGTCTATTCATAGTTCGGTCTATTTTGAATGACTTTTTTGCTTTAAAATCTAAACATAGTAGAGAAGATTATTTCAAAAAGTTAAACACTGAAGAGACATCAATTATGTATCATGGAAAGCATAATACCCGTAATGTACAGATAGTCCCACTAAGTATGGACCACCTTGATAACTTCTAGACGGTTCGCGATATTGAAATGCAGTTTTCACTGAACAATGCAGATTCATGGAGCAAGTAGCATTCCCTAGAAAAATATGTATATCATATTTTTAGTGTTCGAAAAATTTAATCATATTTGATTTCTTAAATGCAACTATATTTTTCTGACTAGAAATGGATAGATCATGAAAAGAGGAATAAAACAATGTATGATGCGTTGGTATTTTGATTGTAATTTGAGTATACAATTTTGACGTGTGATTTTGGACGGACAATATTTCATCTAGCAGCCCTCGCAACTCTCGCCTACGGGGAAGGTGGCCTTCCCAGCGACAAGCGACAGTTGCATGGAGACGAGAGACAAAGGGGTGACAGTGATGGAAATGAGGCATAACTTCAGCAATCCATGGTCTTGACAGTGAGGTAACACTAAGAAACACCAATTATAACGATCAGAATGTGAGATTTTTTTCCATTGGTTCATCGGGATTTAATTTATTTTCTTCTGAAATTTCACAAATCATTTCAAAGAACGATGAAATGGAAATGGGGTAGCGTAAAGAAGATGATAATAATAAATATAATTTTCAAACTTGACAGAGACAAGAGTCCAACCACATTCGTTTGTAAATTTCATTTTTAATTAAGATGATCACTCGCCCACTTCGCAACCATACGACTACAGCTGCTCATAAATGGAAAAGAAAACGGTACACTTTCGTCTTCTGACGTGGATTTTCAAATTTGTGACAGTACGTGGCGCTATGAAGTGAGAAACTCTCCATTCAGTATTAGCAGTCGTGACTGTGTTTGTGCATTTTTGTTAAAGTTTGGTAAATTTACACTGATACAACTGACAAGAGAATTTCAAAATTTGCATTACTTTGTTCTTTTGGTATATGTTTAAATAGGAAGTATATTAACAGAAAGTAATAAGAGAAAAGTCTTCCTATTATTTAATGAACTAATCGAGATATTACAATGAACATCTTTAAACATTTAAGCATAAGTCCTTTCCCATGTTTTAAAGTAATGACTTGCTTCTGCCATAACTCAATGATCTTGATTCTTGTAAGTCTGAAAATAACCATTATTATTATTATTATTATTATTATTATTATTATTATTATTATTATTATCGTCTTTCCGCTAAATTTGTTTATTCTTTTATTTTGTTCTTTCCTATTATCGTTGCTTTGGAATTTCCGTAGAAGAAAGGTTCAATTCAGATGAACAAATGGAATTTTCTCTTCTTCTTAATATTGATGATTGTTCATACGTTCTTCGTGTCAAGACCATGAATTGCTGTAGTAGTAAAGCAAGCATCTATCCTTCATGGCCAACCCGCGCAGATTCCTATCTCCCGCGACGCGTGTATCGACGCCGGGGAAGGCCGCCTTCCCCGACGGGACCGTTGCAAGGGCTGCTACAGGAAATGTCCGTTTACTTTAAAGTCACATGTCAGTAAATCTAATTTTATACTCAAATTACCATCAAAACACTAACATATGATACATAATTTTACATGATATATCCATTGCTGGTAAGAAAAATGAATTGTACCATTTAAAAGAACAAAGATGATAAAATTTCTCCTTAAAACTAAAAATATTATAGACCATTTTTCTAAGACTTGTTACTTGACACATGATTCCGCTTTGTTAAGCGAAAGCGATATCGCGAACCGTTTAAAAGTTATGGGGAGCGCATAGTTGGTGGAACACTCTTTATAATAAAATTGACAAATATTAGGTTTCTATTTCATGTTTATACCTATGTCATGAATCCAAATTCTCCTTTTGTTCACAATTACCGGAAATATATATTTTTTCATTCATTTACAATAACTACTAATGTACTAAACGACTACAAAGACACAGTCCAACCTATTTGATGTGTTCTTTTTGACGTTAAGACCTGAAGACCTTAGAAATTTAAGACATAAAAACTTACTACACCCAAAATATTTCGCCTACGCTCCAGAAAATTGAAAAGAAAAAAACTGCATTTGAATAAGATCCAGAATCGTTCCCAAGGTTCTTCACAGATCGATTAAAAATGGGAATGAGTTACTAATTGCACTACGCGTAAGAGGAGTGTTCCATAAGGTTCGTTTTAATGTTTCGCAACAATATCTTAAATCTGAGAATGTTGGCAAAGGGCGATTGTGTATGTAAATGCGCGATGTAAAGAGAGTTCCTAGAAATACTCGGCGTGCATTCAACAGTGGTCATGGCTCGCACGGAAGGGGACGGAGCAAATGCAAGCAGCGAGGGCTGTGAAGTGGACACTTTTCACGAGTAATTTGTAGACGGCCGTAGGCTGCCTGTAACTCAGCTGGGCGAAAAACGACTCAAGGAGAGGTGTTAAGAA